ATGCTCACTTTCGTGGTATGGGTCTCAGGTTGGACCAGTTGTTGGTTGGCCACTCCAACAATCTCTGTGCCACCCTTACCCCAGTACATCCCATAGGCAGGACAGACTGTCGGTCAAAGGTTATGCGACTGGGTTGGTGTTCCACTCCGTCCACTGGAAGTCTTGCCTGGCCACAAGAGATGAGCAGTTCATGCTAAATATCCACAATAGCTAGGAGTCTTAGCTTGGGTTATCCTTATAGATTTCTGGGAGTTTCCCTTGCGCCAGGTTTCTACCTGACCCTGAAATGCCGCCCCTCTTTCCAGTCGGCTCTTTCAGTACTCCCCCTGCCTGCATACCCCCACACACTTGATCTCTCCTGTTCTCAACCCCACCTGCCTCCTGTCCACCCACAAAATCAATTCCATTTCCCCCTCCCAGGGAGATCCAAGTGCCCCCACTACTTAGGCCTTCCTTGTTACTTAGCCTCTCTGCTGTGGAGTGTAATATCGTTATCCTTTACTTTACAGCTAATATACACTTTTAAGTGAGTACATACCATGTGTATCTTTCTGGGTTACCTCACTCAGGATGATTTTTTTTCTAGTTTCATCCATACGCTTGTAAATTTCATGATTTCATTGTTTTGTAATGACTGAGTAGTACTTCATTGTGTAAATATACCATATTTTCTTTATCAATTCTTCTATTGAAGGATGTATAGGTTGTTTCCAGGTTCTCGCTATTATGAACAAAGCTGCTATGAACATAGTTGAGCAAGTGTCCTTGTGATATGATTGAGTGGTTCTAGTTTTGAAGGCATGAAGGAGTCACAAAGAGCAGCTGAGGTTTGGCATTTTTTTGGCAGAGCTGGAATCCCTGCAGAGAAGCCTCATTCACATTGAAGAACCCCCAGTTGTTCATCAAGGACAGTGGCAGATATGGGGTTGTGCCAACATGAGCTTGTGTTTAAAACAAGCTATATATGCTACAGATGGCAGAGCATGCTTAGTGCTTTAGAACCCAGATGGCCATGAATGATTTCCAGATATAAAATACTGCACTGAAGGATTTTATTTACACTGCAGGATTTTGGGGGCTGCTTTGATCTGATTGTAACTACAAGCTGTTTTTCCCTTTGGGGATAATAAAATATTTAACATTTTTATTTTACAGTATTGCACACTTAACAGACTTTGATATCTAAACAGACCTTGTACTTTTAAAATGTTGAAATTCTTAGACTGTGAGACTTATAAAATTTGGACTGTTCAGGACTAGAGAGATGGCTTGGGGATTAAGAGAACTTGTTGTTCTTGCAGATGACCTGAGATCATTTCCCAGCATCCACATAGTGGTGCACAACCATCATACCCAGGCATGCATGTGATACACGCGCAAGTAAAAAAGATCAAACATAAAGTTAAAATCTAAAAGTTGAACTATGGTTTATATTGTGGTATTAACATGAAATCTTGGAGACAAGAATTGGAAGATTGTGGCTGTAAGTGATGTATTTTATGTTAAGCTGACAAGTGATAGGGAATCCTAGGTAGTAGCTTCAGTTATCAGCCTGAAACAGCCTAGAGTCCTCTGAGTGAGTCTCAGTTGTGAGGTTGCCTGGATAAGATTGGGCTATGGGCATGTCTATGAGAAATTAAGAATTATCACGATTGAGCTCCCAAGGTCCCAATGAGGAGCAGATGGAGGGAGAACACGAGCAAGGATGTCAGGACCACGAGGGGTGCACCCACCCACTGAGACAGTGGGGCTGATCTATTGGGAGCTCACCAAGGCCAGCTGGACTGTGACTGAAAAAGCATGGGATAAAACCGGACTCTCTGATCATGGGGAACAATAAGGACTGATGAGAAGCCAAGGTCAATGGCAAGGGGTTTTGATCCTACTTCATGATCCGGCTTGGTGGGAGCCTAGCCAGTTTGAATGTTCACCTTCCTAGACATGGACGGAGGGGGGAGGTCCTTGGACTTTCCACAGGGTAGGGAACCATGACTGCTCTTTGGATTGGAGAGGGAGGGGGAGAAGAGTGGAGGGAGGGGGAGGGAAATGGGAGGCTCGGAGGAGGCGGAAACTTTTTTTTTCCTATTCTCAATAAAAAAAAAATACTCAAAAAAAAAGAATTATCACGATTAATGACTGATTGATGTGACGGGGTCCAGCTCACTGTTGGCAGCACCATGCCTATGGACCTGGATTGGATCTCACGGCTGGCGATAATGAGCCAGATAGTGAGCCAGAGTGCAATCCAGAGGGTGAACCAGTTATTCAGTTCCTGATTGAGTTCCTATGCTGAATTCTGTCAATGATGGGCTTTTGTCAGAACATGGTCCAAGAATGAAGTCATGGGAGAATTCTGAGTCCTTGTGAGGAAACTTCAGGAAAACAAGACAAGAGTCTTGTAACCTCAGTTTCTTCAAAAACACAGATTTGTCTTTAGAATGTGCTCTCATGCCCATCCCAGGTATAGTGGACAGGAGTGAGTTTACTTCAGATTATTCATCACAACTAGCTATTTTTATTTGTTTATATGCCTCTATGGAAAACATGGATTTGCTATGTGCAGCTTGTCTGCCACATGAGGTTTGTCCTTGTGATTCTATACTGTACTCACATGAAACCCTCATAGTATAAATTGCCTGATACTCTGAATAAAGTTGATTATTGCATGAGACTTCAGTCTGTCTCATTTATTGGCTCTGTTCTCCCAGATCTTACCATCTTTAGAGTGATAGACTGTGACTTGGATATGTAAGTGAAGCAAACTTTGTAGTTAACATTTCTCTTTCACCTGCCTGTTCCCAAATACCTGGCAGTCGCTTCCCAAATAATTGGCTGAGAGGCTTAATGTAAATTAGAAATGCACAGCCAACATCTCAGGCTTATTACTGTCACTTACATTTTAAGTTAACCCATATTCCTATTTATACTCTGCCATGTGGTAGTACCTTTATTAGCATGGTATGTTTATCTCCTGCTCTCTGTATAAAAGAAAGACTGCATTTTCATTCCTTGGCCACCCAGACCTGAATAATCACACAGAAACTATATTAATTGCAACACTGTTTGACCAATGACTGAGGCATATTCCTAGCTCTCATACCTTAAATCAACCCATTTCTATTATTTTATATTTTGCCATGCGGTTCATGGTTTGTTACCTCATATCTTGCTTCTTGGGCGGCTACATTAATGTCTGCCTGACTCTGCCTTCTTACTCCCTACATTCAGTTTAGTTTTCCCACCTAGCTATATCCTTCTACCCTACCATAGGCCAAAGTAGCTTCTTTATTAACCAATGGTAATAAAAATATATTCAGAGTATACAGACGGGAATACCACATCATCTCTCCTTTTCTGTCTAAATAAAAAGGAAGGTTTTAACTTTAACATAGTAAAATTGCATACAATAATACAGGTATCAAGCAAGAATTACAGTTACAATATTTACTCTATTTATCATTGTGAATCTAAAGTTTTATATCTAATTTATCTTTTATCATAACTAAGGAAACTATAACTATCTGTCTTCAACTCCAGCAAAGAACCCAGAAGGATATAATATTACCTAAGTAAACAGGAAGTGCATTGTAAGCAACTTCCACAACTTTAGAACTGACAGATACATCTTCTGTTTGGACAGTCACCCAAAGTTCTTCCATATCATTGGAGCATCCATCTTTAGCCTATAGGCACATAGTATCTGGCAAACATTTCAGTGAAGCAGAAAATTTGAAGATCTGTTCTGCCTTGTAATTACAAAGTTTATCAGTTGCTTTCTTCTGTGTCCTGCAGAATGACTCGCAGTTTCTTTTGTGAAGCAGGAACCCTGGAGGACCATCCTATATTTTGGTAAGTTCAGCAGTCACTTTTCTGTAGGTCTTGCATGTCCATTTTATACAGCATACTATCAAGCAGTCCAGACAAGAGCAGTTTCTTGTCTAAATAACTATCTTTGTCATGTTGAAGACAAATTCCACAATGAATTTCAATACCTCTCTGAAGTAATTGGTGCTGCCAGAAACAGACATGTCTCACCAATGAGAAAAGTCTAAGTTCTTAAAACCTTTCAAATGCCATATTTTGTAGGTCTCTGAAGTGTTGAAGATTAACTATCTAATTGAAATGTATTTCTAGAAAACCTAACAAGTTTGACTATCATAAATGACTATTAATCTGTTTTTTAAATTATATATATATATTTAATTTATTTATTATGTATACAATATTCTCAGTATTCTGTCTGCATGTATTCCTACAGTCCAGAAGAGGACATCAGATCTCACTACAGATGGTTGTGAGCCACCATGTGGTTACTGGGAATTGAACTCAGGACCTTTGGAAGAACAGGCAGTGCTCTTAACCTCTGAGCCATCTTGAACCATATAAACATAATATCTTTAAAAAGAGTAGAAATATACATGTAACAATATTGACCTTAAATTTGTATCAATAAACCAAAGCCCATAGCAACATATTCATTTCTATATCAGATACCCCCCTTTTTAGAATGAGATTAGCTGTAACTATTAACCACTTATAATTAACCCCCTTTAAATGAAAACAAGCATTTATAAACAATCATTTTGGGGAATTTTGGCGTTGTTTCTCTAAACAGCTCCCAGATATTTTTTGGGTGAAGTATTTTTAGAGTACATGGAGACATTTTGAGGGGTCTTTTCCCATCAAACCATAGCAGCCTGGAAGGAATCCTCAGATTCTTATCTTCTGTGGAAACAAAAATAGAACCTCTTTTCCAAAGTAACATATCCTTAGACTCAAGTCAAGTTTTGAAGTCAAGTTACCTTTAATATATATATGTGTGTGTGTGTGTGTGTGTGTGTGTGTGTGTGTTTAGCTTAGCAGACCCCAGAATCAAATGTCTCTCTGCAGTCAAAAAATTAAAAGAATACACAATAATTCAGACTCTCTGTATATTTTCCATCTTTTTTTTTGATTTAATAAAGTTTTATTTTTTCAAATGTACAGCTGATTGAACCTGTTCATGCATCTTCACCAGCAGCTGGGACATCTCCACTCTTTGTGTTTCTGGTGTAAATTATTTGGGCTCGCAGCTTGATAAGCCCTTTACTAAGGAGCTCCTGAAGAGCTGCCCTGGCCAAGGAACCGTGAATCTTCAGTCTCTCAGAGACCACGGCTGGAGTAATAAGTTTATAGTTGGGCACTTCCTTACAGAGTTTGTCGTATGTAGCCTTGTCAAACAGGACTAGATTGTTGAGCTTGTCCCGAACTTTGCCTTTGGACCACTTCTTCGTTTTGGCCTTGCCACCGGACTTATTTACTAGATCTTTGTCTTTTTTGGCCGACTTTCCGGCATCTTTCTTCTTCTTGTCATCCTTGGGCGGCATGATGAAGTTCGGAGAGTGGCGACAACCACTGCAGCCTCCCTAAGATGTCAGGGGAAAAAGCTATATTTTCCATCTTTATGTGGCTTAATATGCATATATTGTATTACTCTATTCTTTTTTAAGAATTTTTAAATCATTATTTTCATCTGTGACTGTTTCTACTCTTTTTTCTTTCCCAAGACTATGCACATTTATCAATCATACTGTGGTCCATTCAGAGGTCTTTTTTGTCTGAATCTATGTTTACTGGGTAGCTGTATTTCTTTTCTGACCAGGAGTACTTTTTAAATGCCAAGAGGCTTGGCTAAGCTTAATGCTATGGCTTTGCCTTTTTACTCCACCTGGTTCAACATGGCAGAGGTATGTTAACCACCAGTTCTGCGAGCCACACTCACCACCCCAGCTCCAGGGATGCAGAGGTCTATGTCACCATTAAGCAACTTGTAGCACTCTTCTCACAAACCCCATTTAAGTGCTCTGTAGCAGGACCTCTCAAAAGAGCCAGTATCTTTTTTTTTCTAACCCACCATAGATCACATTGTATCTAAAACATAGTTTTATAAGGCACCTGGGTCTGAACAGTAATGTTTCACTTATTCTTTTTGGCTAGTATGTATGTGCTTCCAAATACTCAATGGCATCCTCACAGGCATGCCTCCATGCCTTCACATGTCGATTGTGTTTGGGTGGGTTACTCAGTCTAGGGGTTTGTAACCCACCCTGCAATCAGTTATTCCAGGGTCTCGGAGGGGCGCTACCTGGAAGGGAATGAGCTAAGACAGAAGAAGGAGGCCAAGCAGATTTGTCAAAGCCTCCGTTTATTAGGGACGGGTTACAGTTTATATATGGTAAGGAATGGGGGGCAGGGCACGGGATCTCGCCACGTGGTCCCGGTCACGTAATTCGGTCAGGTAGGCCAAGAAGTCACAAGTTGCCACACCTAGTTCCCTGGATAGCTGGAATGTGAGGCGGTTCTGCTAACAGATTAGCAGTTAATTGGGTGTGGGGCAGATTCTCAATAGAACATAATTATGGGTGTGGGGGTTCTCTGCAGACCCCCTAGGGTGATGGTTCCTGTAATGATTTTTAGGGGGGAAATGGCTCGTGACATTCACAGTCATAGACCAAAAGTCAGGCTAAACTAGTCTTCCTCTTCCCTCATTCTCTCTGTACATGCAAACACCTACTCCCAAAAGAGTAAAACTACAAAAGGGCTAGGATCCTTTATGAGGAGTGGTCATGAGCCTCCTCACACCCTCCTATCATATTTAATGTTCCATCTCAAATTCATCTGTGCACACACAGAAAAATGGGCAGACACACAAAAACTCATGAATGCAGAGCCAGTGGGGGGTGTGACAGTGTATGTATGAGCAAGCAGATTATGGAAGAAGTAGGTTACATATTGTCTGTCTGAACTCCTGTTTTATTGTCTTAGAACACATAGACCAACAGATAATTAATAGTGTTTATTTTTAAATGGCAGACAGAAACTACTTCAATTTGAACATTTGTTTCTCTTTTTAAAATGTGTTATTTGACAAATAATTTGAAGAAAATATATCTCACAGATGTGTTATGTTTCTTTTTAGAAGATATTCTGCTTTATAAATAACAGAGTTCATATTGCATATATTTGTATGCTAACTGAAAGCTCAAATGTTATATACCTATGATTTCCATACAGTTTCACATAACTTTATTTTCTATATTTTATTTATCTCTGAGTACCACATATTTAAAATGAGATTCATGATATATTTATTGGCTACTGTCTTTGTCAGTGTTCTGCCATGACCATGGAAACTATTATAAAAGAAAGCATTTAATCAAGGCTTGCTTACAGTTTCAGAGGTTTAGTCCACTATCATCATGGTTGGGAGTATGGCAACATGCAGGCAGACATGGTGCTGGAGAAGTAGCTAAGAGTTCCACATCTGTATCTGCAGGCCAGACAGAGGAAGAAAGGGACACTGGGCCTGGCTAGTATCTTTGAAACCTCAAAACCTATCCCCCATGAGACACTTCTTCAAACAAGTCCACACCTCCTAATCCTTCTCAAGTAATGCTACTCCCTAATGACTAAGCATTCAAATATATGAGCCTATGCAAGGATTCTTATTCAAACTACCACAACCACTGAGCAAATGACCTGAAATGAATATTGAGCTAAATTAACACAAATTAAAATCTATAAATATACTTGGCAATGTAGAAATACATCAATAGTAATTTATCTTAATTTTTTATCAGCCAGGTATGATGATTTGAATGAGAAGTGTCTTCCATAGACTCAGGTATTTGAAAACTTGCTCACCAGTTGGTGTCAGTATTTTTGGAATAGTTATAGGAAGGTGCAGTCTTGCTGAAGGAAGTAAATCGTTGGAGTGGGCTTTAAAAGTTTATAGCATAGCTTCACTTCCAGTTATCTCTCTCTGCTTCCTGCTTGCAGTTGAGTATGTAAACTCTCAGTATCATGCTTCTGCCATCATGCCTGTTGCTTGCTTTCAGGCTACCCTGCCACGATGGACTCTTATCCCTCTGGAACCATAAGCCAAAATAAAGTCTTTCATCAATTGTTTTGGGTTATGGTGTACTGTCTCAACAACAGAAAGTAACTAATAAACCAGTCTTGTAAATAATTTAAGACCTGCTGCTCAACTTGCCACTTAGTCTGTCTTAGTATTTGCAGATATCTTGGAGGTTGTTATTAAAATGCAAAGTGTATACTTTTACTTTGTTTACATTGGAAAGCAATTAGGAGAATAATTATTAATAATTAATAACTTAATAATGTGTGGTTTTGAATTTTTCACAAATGCAAACATTAATTAATAACAAAGATAAATACATATAGTATTTATGCACTTGGTTATTCTGCTAATAAATCACAGAGCTGGGATTGGAATTCAAATAGCCTGACCTTAAAGACCCAGTACCTTAATGTATTTATTATCATGTATTAAAAATGAAATTGTATTTTTTGTTTTTCAGACTATTCCCTAGAAAGACAAAAACTCTCAGAAGTCGTTCCTAACATTTTCTACAAATAACCTTCTGGAGTCCAGAATCACATGAATAATTCACTTTTAAATGCGAGTATAATCGAGCATGGTGGTGCCCACCTTTAATCCTAACACTCGGGAGACACAAGCAGGCAGATCTTTGTGAGTTTGGGGCCAGCCTGGTCTAGAAAGCAAGTTCTAGGACTGCTATGGCTGTTGCACATAGAAACCCTGCCTCAAAAAAAAATACAATAACAAAAAAGCAAGTATAAAGATAATCAAAGTGAAATCATAATTTTAGGTTGTTTTTATGTTTTAAATATTTGTCTATTTTTATTTTATATGTGTGGGTGTTTTGCATGCATGTATGTCTATGTGCTGTATGTGTAATGCCCATGGAGACCAGAAGAGGGTAATGGATTTCCCCCTGGAACTGGAGTTATAGGCAGTAGTAAGCCACCTGATGTGGGTGCTGGGAACTGAATCTAGGTCCTCTGCAAGAGCAGGAAATGCTCTTAACCACAGAGTAGTCTTTCTACCACAATTCAAAAAGAAATGTAAGTGTGTGAGGGTATATTTTTCTGTGTCTATGCATGGGTATGTGTATGCATGAGGGAAGGTGTATTTGTAAGTCAGAAGTGGGAGTCAGATCCCCTGGAGCCAGAGTACAGACAGTTGAGAACTGCCTGATGTGGAGGATGGAAATTGAACCTGGGTCCTCTGCAAGAATCTTATTGATGGAGGAAGGTCATTGGTTAAGTAATAAAGAAACTGCTTGGCCTCATAGGTTAAAACATAGGTGGGAGGAGTAAACAGAACAGAATGCTGGGAGGAAGAGGAAATGAGCTCAGAGGCCATGCTCCCCTCTCCTGGGCAGATGCGAAGCTCCGACCCAGGATGGACGTAGGCTGGAATCTTCCCAGTAAGCGCACCTTGGGGTGCTACACACATTATTAGAAATGGGCTAGTCCAGGTGCGAGAGTTAGCCGAGAAGAGGCTAGATATAATGGGCCAAGCAGTGTTTAAAAGAATACAGTGTCCGTGTAATTATTTCGGGGCATAAGCTAGCAGGCAGCCGGGGTTCTGGGGACGCAGCCCCGCCGCTCCTATTACAACATCTTATTACCTGATGAGTCATCTCTCCAGCCTCTAAATCCTATTTTTTTTTTTTTTTTTTATTTTCGAGACAGGGTTTCTCCGTAGCTTTTTGGTTCCTGTCCTGGAACTAGCTCTCCTAGACCAGGCTGGCCTCGAACTCACAGAGATCAGCCTGCCTCTGCCTCCCGAGTGCTGGGATTAAAGGCGTGTGCCACCACCGCCCAGCTTAAATCCTATTTTTTAAAACATGGTTCAGACCTAAACTCTGGTGCAGGACTATGGGATGGCCTAAGTCTGATAGCCCAACCTCATGGCTTGAAAGATCCTCACACTAAAGATAAATCTAAACAAACCTTCCGCCTACCCCAAACTAGGGGAGCAATGGAGCCTCAAATTGTCTCCCTGAGAAAAAGATTAAAGAAAAAAAAAAAGAAAAGCAATCCCTGACATCAAGAAACTGGCCTTGTTCATACTTGTAGGCCCTGTTATTCTGTTGTTAAACATAAGTCATTTTGTAGAATAACAACCTCACACAAGATTACTTGGGGAATGTAATAAAATGAGACAAAGCTAGGTCACTGAATTGTCTAAGCATATGCAAAATAAAAGGTTACTATGCTACACTCCTGAATGTCAAATACTCCCATAGAGATGCTAAAATGTGTGCACCTTTTTTTACATTGTGTGTGTGTCCACACACACACACACACACACACACACACATACCTGTGGAGGTCAGAGCACAACTTGCAAGAGTACATTATCTCCTTGCTTGTGTGGATTCTGAGGATCAAACTCAGATCATCAAGCTGAGTGGCAAGTGCCTTTCCATGCTATCTTGCCAGACTTCAACTGCTTTACCAAGTATAATTCTGTTATTTTCCTATTCTTCCCAGATACAGCATGATTAAGATT